GATGGTCGTTCCCCAAAAAAAAAAATTAGATTACATGTCTGAGGAAAAGAGTTAGGAAGAGTTACAGTTAAATTCAGTAGTCAACACCAAATTCCCTTTTGTGCTTCAGAGTTTTCACTGTTTTTGGAGTATCATCATGTAATCTTAGGCAATTTCTAAAATATTATTTAAAAAAAAAAAATCCTAGTAAATCATGTGAGATTTCAGCTCGCTCACCCTTTGAACTCTCAAGAATACTTTCCCCAAAGCTTGAAAGATTGTAGAGTTGTCTCCTAAAATCTTCTGAGATTTCACTGTACCTAGCATTTCACTGAGGGCTTCTGGAGGTATTGTGAGCACCTTCGAATCCATGTTGCTGGATTCCCTCTTTCAGGTGGGATTTCATACGTAGATCTTCTTACCAAGGCTATCTATTGTCCCTGGCTCATTTATTACAGTGGCATTTCAGCATTTCTCCAAGGAAACTACAGCGGACTAGATGCCTGTATCCTATTTTATCATTCCTCTATGATAGGCCAGGGTTAAGAGATAGTGACTGGTCCAAGTTTATTTCAGGATTAAGCTACCTTTGAATCCATGCCTCTCTGAATCAAGTGCAATAGTCTTCTACAATGTGGTTGGGAGAAAACTAATCATTGCTTGATGCAATTATCAACAGTTTGCTGGCCCTTACATAAATATACTTTTGAATACATGGTGTTCTTTTGTGGCTTACACACTCCAGTACACTTACGAACATAGATTCACAACTCTTTCAGCACACTCAGACCAAGGCACCCTCACTTCTGAGACACACGTACATACATGCATTTTCTTTTCCACCACAACATCTTGGCCTCAAATTTGAGAAGTGGCTTCATGAAGGGGCTGTCCCCCCCCCCCCCAACACACACATATTTCCAAAACATTTACTGTTTCTTCTGCATCTTTTATTTGGAAGAGGTATTAAATTTAATGTGGCTTCTACTTGTTGGAAAGGATTTCACTCTTTATGTTTCCCATCTCAAAGAGCATGAAATACATTTTTAATGTGTGTGCATCTGCATTTCAACAGATTTTTTCTTTTTTTTAAATCATGGTTATATAGCAAGTGGCATATCTTGTCACTCTTAATTTCTAATTCTGCTGTCCTATTTTCCTGAAACAATCTTCTGGCTTCTGTGGTTCTTGGGTTTCTGAATCGCCTTCATCATAATTTGATTTAACATTGTGCCAAATGCCAGCAAGGTTCAATTTATTTGTTTCATTTCATAACTACATTATTAATTAGATAACGTATATACTTCTGAAAAACTGTTGATATTAGAGCTGTGTGGTTTTTTTTTTTTTTCCTTCTAGGCATCTACCTATATATAAAGACCCAGATATAAGCAAGTTGAAGAAAAATTACTGTCGTAATCCCGATGATGATGCACACGGTCCTTGGTGTTATACTAGTAATCCTCAGATCCCTTGGGATTATTGTCGTATATCTAGATGTATGTACCTGGATCACACCAAAATAGCTGGAATTGCCTAATGTCAATGCAAGGCATATACATGGGGGTCCATTGATGGGAGGAATTATGCATTGTGCTTGTCAATGCCATCAAGGAAGGGCTGTGTCTTATGGCAAGGATGAAAATATGTAAGAGTGGCATTTGCTTTATGACATCATGATGCAGATGTGGTCATTTTGACATCATCGCAGTTTGCAATGGGACTCGACATATACACTATTGCAATGAAAAATATTGCACAAATACTTAAAAAAAATTTTTTTTCTTTAAATCGTCATATTCT